AACGCCCCAGCGACGTTCCAGACGCTTATGAACACCGTCCTCTCCGAGTTCCTAGGTTCGTTCGTTGTCGTTTACCTAGACGACATCCTGATCTTCTCCAAGTCGAAAGAGGAGCACGTGCAGCACTTGCAGAGGGTCTTTGAGGTCTTGCGGATGTACACGAAGCAATCGAAATGCGAGTTCTTTCTCCCTGAGGTCGAGTTCCTAGGACACGTCATAATCGCTAGTGGCATTAGGACCGACCCAAAGGAGATTGCAGCCGAACAGGATTGGGTGGCACCGACCTCAGTTAAAGAGTTGCAGAGCTTTCTTAGTTTCGCAAATTACTACCGTCGTTTCGTTCAGGGTTACGCATCAATCGCTAGTCCACTCACCGACCTACTTCGAAAAGGCATAGAGTACGTTTGGGGTCCAGCGCAGCAGCAGGCGTTCGAGCAGATGAAGCAGTCGCTCACGTCTTCACCGACACTGTCGTACCCCAATCCTACCCGCCCATACGTTGTAGTGACCGACGCTTCAGATCAGGCCATAGGAGCAGTGCTTCTTCAGGACCAGGGACGCGGGTTGCAGCCGATCATGTTCGAGTCGTGTAAGCTGAGGGGAGCAGAGTTGAAGTATCACATACATGACAAGGAGGCACTCGCGATCATCCATGCGTATAAGGTGTGGAGGTGCTACCTAGAGGGGGCAGATAGTGTGACACGTATGTACCATTGCTCGCTTCGCTTTCTCAGTCACAGCCGCAGATAAGTCGTCGCCAGGCTAGATGGATGGAGTTCATGGAGGGGAGCTTTCATTACAGGATAGAGTATAAACCAAGCATTCGCAACCCAGCAGATCCGCTCACTCGCCCTAGTTGCCAGCTCGCTAGTCTCATAGTGCACTGCCAGCCACCCACTTCTTACAGCACTCTTTGAGGTTGGCAATACAGTAGATCCCGACTTCACACCGCAGCCGCCCACAGGAGTAGATTTGCAGGGTAGTGTCTACATACGGAAGGGTACAGCACGGATTTGGGTTCCAGCCTACCGCCCTCTTCGACAGCTTCTTCTTTCCAAGGCGCACGATGTAGTTAGCGCGGGTCACTTTGGAAAAGATAAGATGGCTAAGACGCTTAGTCACACGTACTACTGGCTAGGGCTTGCGCAGACGTAGAGGATTACATTCGCTCGTGCGACACGTGTCAGCGTACGAAGTCCTCTCGCCAGCGCAAAGCAGGACTCTTGCAGCCGATTCCACTACCCGACTGTCCTTGGAAACTAGTTACCATGGATTTCAACATGCCTTTATTGCGCACAGTTAATGGGTCACGTCGCCATCTTCGTGGTAGTAGACAAGTTCTCTCGAGCAGCGCACTTCATCCCCACACATGGCCAGGTCATAGCAGAGGAAGCCGCGACGTTGTTCGTAGTAACATAGTCCGACTACACGGGGTTCCCGATTCCATCACTTCCAACCACGACCCTCGTTTCTCTTTAAAGTTTTGGAAGCAGCTTTTTGCACTGTTTGGAACTTGCTTAGCCATTTCGTCTGCGTACCATCATGAGACAGACAGATAGACTGAGCGTGAGAATCAGACCTTGGAGCAGATTCTCCGCAACATCACGATGCACAACGCATCAACATAGGGCAAGAAGCTGAGCATGGCTGAGTTCGCCTACAACAACACGCACCACTCTGCCACCGGCGTGTCACCGTTCTTCGCACTGTACGGTCAGCACCCCAATGTTCCTACTCGTGTGGATCCCACACCCACTGTCCCTCGTGCGGACAATTTCCACCAGCACCTCACCTTCATTCGCAATCACGTGAGGAAGCACCTTGAGCTTGCAAATGCACGCATGGCACGCACCATCAACTGCAGTCGTCGTGAGGTCATTTCGGTCGGCGACCATGTTCTTTTAGACAGGCGCAACCTCCGACTGCCACTGGATAGCAAGCTTCTCCCACCCTTCATTGGCTCATTTGCCATACGCCGGTGCAATTCCAGCCGCCATCACGTGTGTCGTCGCCGAGAGACCTTTACCGCTACATAGAGGAGAGCGACATCGACCATCGACGTTGACACGCGAGATGCCTGCAGCCACCGTCGACCGTTGCACCCGCGCCTGACTCCTGTCGACGCCACCGTCGACCTTGATCACCCCTCTCTGCCTCGTACCTTCACTGCCGCTAACTCGAGCACCACCGTCGACCTCATCGTCGACGCCACCTTCGTTTCGCACCGGTCGAGGAGATGCAGGACGGGAAGGGTGATCCGTCGCCCACTGCGCCCGGATGCCCAACTCGACGATCGTCAAGGGGATCGTCCCGTACTCGCCATCCGCGTGGCGTCTCCTCGCATCAGCCAAGCGTATCTCCGAGGTGTCCGCTATGCCCGCTTCTACAATGGGGTCGACCATGGCGACTAACGCTGCTGCCGGCCTACGAACGACTTAGTAGGTGCAAAAGTCGGCTCCTATCTGAAGGTAATTTGCGGGGCCGTCCACGCTCACCGCACCATGTGGAGATTCACTCCACAATGGTAGTGAGCTAGACTACTGTGATTGGCACGAACTACTAGGAGTGATCGTAGCTTTGCTTAGTTCCTTAGTGCTTGCACATTCATGGGAGATATCGGCAAGAGTTTCTTCTAGCAAAGTTGGAATTCCATAATGATAGAACAAGCAATGACAGAATGACTACATCAAGCAGAACTCGGCAGAACTCGCCGAGCAGGTTACCTGGTCGACCTGGACACCACTAGCCATTCTGGTCGACCACCCAGAGCTTTTGGTCGACCATTATGCGCCTCTGGTCGACCACCAGGGCTCCGGTCGACCACAGGAGCTCTGGTCGACCACCAGGTGTCTCCTGTCGACCACCACGAGCTCTGGTCGACCTCAGGTCCCCCGGTCGACCAGCAGGCCCCCCAGTCGACCACAAGGTGCCTCTGGTCGACCACAGCTCCTGTCGAGCTGCCCCATGGTCGACGGACCCCTTCCGTCGACCAGAACCCTCTGCTGATGTCGCCGAGCACCCCTCGACGATCGTTGCTCACATGTCAGGTCGACGGACTGCTCCGTCGACCTCCCGGTCGAACTGGAACTCCTGGCCGACGGCCCACCTGTCGCCCAGCTCAGTCAGCTGCGCTCGTCGAGCACCCCTGGTCGACGGAAACCCCACAGTGACACCCTGCAGCTCGACGAAGCCCGTCGAGCAGCTCCCTCACTGCGAACGGTCGGCTGCTTCTCCCGTACATCCGACGATGCCGTCGGCGTTGCCCAAGCGAGAGTGGGGCCAACACTCCACTCCCGTTAATAGTTGGCGTAGATACGATGCATCCGACGACAGCTGGGTTCCGTCGTCCTCGCTGTCTCCCGACAACGCTTGCCTGCAAGTGTATCTTCAGTGTGCAGGCGACGCGGACGTCACCTCCTTGGGAGGGGGGTAGTGTTAGAGGGGTGTTTACTGTTCATTCCGAACAGTACTTTTCCCAACCCCAACGTTATCCTTATCTCCTTAGATTTCTTAGTGCCACGTGTCACTCTACTTTTCTTGCACTTCAATTCCGAGTCCCACAAAACTCTTTCCCACATTCGATCTTGCATGCTATATCAACCTTGCTTGTACTTGCCAATATCAACCATTTCTCAACCTATTCTCATTCAACTTCTTAATTACTTAGAAACTTCTTCGCCTTTTTCGCCAATAGTTCTTTCGCCAAAGTCTTCCAAACGTGCTAATTCTTTAGCGGACTTAGGGCGGAGTCAGATTGTACAGTTCGTTTTAGCGTGTAGTTCATTTACGTTGTGCGACACAGAAAACTAGCTTCCCAGGTGTCTCGGTTTGGTGGAAACCCGTGTCCACAAAACTGAACGCGGGACACCACCCCGCCAGAAGAGTGTGCTGTTTCAGCAACACGACACCGCGGAATGACAGAATCAGTGTTACAACATGACGGGCGACAATCAGCGCGAATGTTTCGCGCACCACCAGAATCGAAAAGTCAACCAATTTGCGTCGCGACAACCAGGTTGAGAATTTCGCAAAGTGCTTGCGAAATTGTGCCTCAAGTCTCGTGAACAAGGGCTGACTCAGCTTGGACTCGAACAGGTAGTGTTAGGCGCTAATGTGTACGTGGATATTTCGTGCCCAGGACGTGTTGGTGCAATATACATCATCACAAAATTTCACGACAAAAAGTTGATCGCGTCCAAAGCAGACCCAAAAATAGGTTACTTTTGCAACCGATTCTGAATGGCAGGATTGTTGTACAACCTGACCCCGCCCTTAGGCTAATGGGTGAGAGTTTTGCTTAATTTCGCGGAAGCGCGCTTTGTTTTATTATCGCCACGTGGCGTGTCTACGATCGCGCAAGCCGCGATCTGTTTTATTGTTATCACAATTTTCATGGCAAGTTTAGTGGATCACATGTACTGAGCTGCCCGCGGACAAAACTAAAACCCAATTGGGCCTGGCATGTGTTAGGCTGCCCGCGGGCAAAACTAAAACCCACTTGGGCCTGGCATGTGTTAGGGAGGCATCAACCCTAAACACATTGCCTCTATGTTTTTAGGGTTGATGCATCCCTAACCCATGCCCGGCCCAAATGGGTTTTATTTTTGCCCGCGGGCAGCGCAGTACAAGTGACCCTGTAAAACTTAACTAAAATTCCCTTGAAATTTGCGCGATCTTAAGCACGCCACGTGGCAAAAATAAAACTAAGCGCGATTCCGCGAAATTGAGCAAAACTCTCCTAATGGGTCTAACACAAAACGTGTCAATTTTGGATTCGACACTGGTTTGGCCGAAAATTTGTCTACCTGGTTACAACTGATCTGTCGACCTTCGCACGGGTGGTTTCGGCCCCTAAAGGCGGGGTCAGCGCGTTCATTTTCGCCCCTTTTCCAAAAGTTTGACACCTCTCGAATCAATAAATTTACTGTAGCAATATGTACCCCGCCCTGGCTGTGTCCAGGGTGGGATATGCGCGACCAGAAGAAGGCACAGGTCCCGCCATGCTCTTGGGGAACCAAGCACCAATTGAGGTAACCATGTGCGACCGAGTTCTAGGGTGGGACTCGCTGGTTCTGTGCTGGTGGACCTGGCGACGGGGCGGCTTTCCAGTCTGTGTTGATCTTTGGGTTTGCGAGACTCGCACGCGCTTCACGAAATCGTAGTGTGATTTCGCTGAGCTGCGTACAGCAGCCCTCGAAAGTTGCGCGGCCGTGAAATGTACGTGGTGTTTCGGTTGACGGCACGGAAACTGACACCGTTCATCAACTGTACATTACGGATCGTGTCTATCCGGACCCTAAATCAGGGTTACAAACCGCTGAATCTGGTAACTGTTTCGGGTTTTGCCAGGAAAAATAAGCTAACTCCGCCCTAAACCGCACCTTGTTTCGGGTTTGGTGTGAGCGTACTGTACTTTGTGCGACCAACCCTGACGACGGAGACACCGATTGTGCGAGAGAAGTGGCAGGACACACGCACTCCCACTACGTTGACAGAACAATACCACTACATTAGTAAGCAATCTTCTGTCTAAAGGCGTGAAAAGAGAAAGTAAAACCTGTAACTATGGAGAGCAGCAGTAGCGCTCCCTCTTGCGTATGCCCCTGATTAGTTTATAGCCGTCACATTCCCGCCACCCTACCGCCACTTCCCGCCACCCGTCTCCCCTGTTCGCCGCCCAACCTCCCGTGCTCGCCGCCCGATTACCCCTTCCCGCGGCCCGATCTCCCCTTCCTGCCGCCCGATATCCCCTTCCCGCATCCTCTCGCCTCTCCGCGCGGCCTCCTCTCGCCTCTCCGCGCGGCCTACTCTCGCTTCCCCCTCCCATCGCCCTCGCTTCCCCCTCCCATCGCCCTCGCTTCCCCCTCCCATCGCCCTCGCTTCCCCCTCCCATCGCCCTCGCTTCCCCCTCCCATCGCCCTCGCTTCCCCCTCCCATCGCCCTCGCTTCCCCCTCCCATCGCCCTCGCTTCCCCCTCCCATCGCCCTCGCTTCCCCCTCCCATCGCCCTCGCTTCCCCTCCCATCGCCCTCGCTTCCCCCTCCCATCGCCCTCGCTTCCCCCTCCCATCGCCCTCGCTTCCCCCTCCCATCGCCCTCGCTTCCCCCTCCCATCGCCCTCGCTTCCCCCTCCCATCGCCCTCGCTTCCCCCTCCCATCGCCCTCGCTTCCCCCTCCCATCGCCCTCGCTTCCCCCTCCCATCGCCCTCGCTTCCCCCTCCCATCGCCCTCGCTTCCCCCTCCCATCGCCCTCGCTTCCCCCTCCCATCGCCCTCGCTTCCCCCTCCCATCGCCCTCGCTTCCCCCTCCCATCGCCCTCGCTTCCCCCTCCCATCGCCCTCGCTTCCCCCTCCCATCGCCCTCGCTTCCCCCTCCCATCGCCCTCGCTTCCCCCTCCCATCGCCCTCGCTTCCCCCTCCCATCGCCCTCGCTTCCCCCTCCCATCGCCCTCGCTTCCCCCTCCCATCGCCCTCGCGTCCCCCTCCCATCGCTTGTCCACTTGCGCCATCTGTCAGTGTGGGGCAGCAGCATCACCATCGCCTCTGCCTCGCTGCTCTACTGCAGCTGTCCTTGACGCCTTTCTGTTACACCTCTCCCACTCCCTTCCCCACACGGTACGTTAGCTCCTCACCACTCTCCCTCACACACCTTGATCTCTCTGGCTCACACTGTGTCCCCTGCTCATTCTCTTCCCCCCGGCTCACACTGTTTCCCCTGCTCATTCTCTTCCCCCCGGCTCACACTGTTTCCCCTGCTCATTCTCTTCCCCCCGGCTCACACTGTTTCCCCTGCTCATTCTCTTCCCCCCGGCTCACACTGTTTCCCCTGCTCATTCTCTTCCCCCCGGCTCACACTGTTTCCCCTGCTCATTCTCTTCCCCCCGGCTTACACTGTTTCCCCTGATCATTCTCTTCCCCCCGGCTCACAATGTTTCCCCTGCTCATTCTCTTCCCCCCGGCTCACACTGTTTCCCCTGCTCATTCTCTTCCCCCCGGCTCACACTGTTTCCCCTGCTCATTCTCTTCCCCCCGGCTCACACTGTTTACCCTGCTCATTCTCTTAACAGTTGGTTGGAAAGAAAAAATATGAGACGCAAGCTTTGATGACTAACAGTGACTCTCCTACGACCCTGGATTTCGTATTTCGTGAACCTGTGGTAATAGCGACGCAACGCCACATGCTGCTCACCCATCAACGCGCGCTTTCGCCGTTGCACGCTCTCTGTAAACCTCGTCAGATTCCCTGTAGCTTCGTCACATTCGCCATAGCATCTTACCTTTCACTCTGCATTGCGTCAGCTTCGTTATTTTATCCCTGTACCTTTCGTCGGATTCGTTATTTTTGCTCGCCTCCTGCATTGCGTCTGGTCCATCATCAGTGTCCTAGCTTTGCGTCTCCCGTGCATTCCTCGGCGCAATGCGCATTCCCGTCAATTCGCCTGCTGCTTCCTGCCGCTTCCCCCCCGCCCCTTCCTTCCCATGTGCCTCCCAGTATTGCAACTAGCTTCGAACATCCCCACTACCTGAATCGATATCAGAGTACGATCACTCCTCTTGCACCGTATCTCTCCAAAACCAGCTTTTTCCCGCGCCACCCGTCGTCCCGCGTGCGGCCTCGCGAATGCGGCGGTGCCCGCCGTCGTAGTTCGCTTCCGCTCCGCGCGTCCCTTCCGCGCGTGTGCAGCGCCTCCGCGCCATGCAGCGGCCGATTGCGGGGCGGCTGAAGCACGCGGCGGGCTCGACGCCGCTCGTGGTGGTGGCGGACGACGTGCCGCCCATCAGGATCGCGGAGCGCCGTGCGATCGACCATCTGAGCGATCTCGACCATCCACGTGGCTCCCCGCTCGCCAGCGGCAAGCACGCCAGCCCGCACGCCGCCGCCTTCCGCTCGCCCTCCGCAGCTGGCGGCGTGGCCTCCCCGGTGGCCGCCTTCTCCCCTGCGGCGCTCTCCCGTGAGTTCGCACTTGCCGCCGGCAGCCACTTCCACGGCGGCCCTGCGCACGCACACGCGGGGCACAGCGCATACGGGCCACACGGGGCACACGGGGCACACGCGGGGCATGTGGGAAGCGGAGCGGCGGGTGCAGAGAGGGCGGGCGGGGCGGGCGGGGGCGCGGTGGTGTCGAATGTGGCGGGGGTGGCGGTGCTGCTGCTGCTGCTGAACCTGTCGACCATCTACCTCTTCTTCCAGTCAGGCCTCTCCTCGCGCTCGCTCTCCGCCGCCTCCGCCGACATCCGCCTGCGCAGCGGGCAGCAGGAGCGTGCCATGGCGCACCGCGCCGCGCTCTCCAGCGACCCTCCCGCCCGCGCACGGTACGGTACGGGCTGGCCGGCCGCACTGCCATGCACTGGCCGGCGGTACGCACTGCTTTGTGTGTTGCGCCGTGGCACCTCTGCTGCATGGCACCGCATTGCATTGCGTTGCATTGCATGCTACCACGCCATGGCAAGTCCCATGATGCCTCTCCCGCCCATCTTCCTCCCACCACCTCCCCTCCCCATTCTCAAACCCATCCTTCCTCCTCTCCCCTCTCCCAGCATGCATGCAGGTGGGGGGGCAAGCAGCAATCCGGTGCAGGCGGAGGGGGGGGCGGGCATGGGGAGGGGCGTGGGGGCGCACCTGAGCACGGCAGTGAGGGCGCGGGAGACGGTGAACGGGCGGCTGTTCCACATCGCACCGGGGCTGGCGGCCAGCAAGGTGCCGTGGAACGCCACTGACAACTCCTTCCTGCTCTCCCTCGTACGCCCTTCCTGCTCTCCCTCGTACGCCCTTCCTGCTCTCCCTCGTACGCCCTTCCTGCTCTCCCTCGTACGCCCTTCCTGCTCTCCCTCGTACGCCCTTCCTGCTCTCCCTCGTACGTCCTTCCTGCTCTCCCTCGTACGCCCTTCCTGCTCTCCCTCGTACGCCCTTCCTGCTCTCCCTCGTACGTCCTTCCTGCTCTCCCTCGTACGCCCTTCCTGCTCTCCCTCGTACGCGCTTCCTGCTCTCCCTCGTACGCCCTTCCTGCTCTCCCTCGTACGCCCTTCCTGCTCTCCCTCGTACGCCCTTCCTGCTCTCCCTCGTACGCCCTTCCTGCTCTCCCTCGTACGCCCTTCCTGCTCTCCCTCGTACGCCCTTCCTGCTCTCCCTCGTACGCCCTTGCTGTTCTCCCTCGTACGCCCTTCCTGCTCTCCCTCGTACGCCCTTCCTCCTCTCCCTCGTACGTCCTTCCTCCTCTCCCTCGTACGTCCTTCCTCCTCTCCCTCGTACGTCCTCCCTGCTCTCCCTCGTACGTCCTTCCTCCTCTCCCTTGTACGCTTTTCCTGCTCTCCCTCGTACGTCCTTCCTGCTCTCCCTCGTACGCCCTTCCTGCTCTCCCTCGTACGCCCTTCCTGCTCTCCCTCGTACGCCCTTCCTGCTCTCCCTCGTACGCCCTTCCTGCTCTCCCTCGTACGCCCTTCTTGCTCTCCCTCGTACGCCCTTCCTGCTCTCCCTCGTACGCCCTTCCTGCTCTCCCTCGTACGCCCTTCCTGCTCTCCCTCGTACGCCCTTCCTTCTCTCCCTCGTACGTCCTTCCTGCTCTCCCTCGTACGCCCTTCCTGCTCTCCCTCGTACGTCCTTCCTGCTCTCCCTCGTACGCCCTTCCTGCTCTCCCTCGTACGTCCTTCCTGCTCTCCCTCGTACGCCCTTCCTGCTCTCCCTCGTATGCCCTTCCTCCTCTCCCTTGTACGCTTTCCCTGCTCTCCCTCGTACGCCCTTCCTGCTCTCCCTCGTACGCCCTTCCTGCTCTCCCTCGTACGCCCTTCCTCCTCTCCCTCGTACGTTCTTCCTCCTCTCCCTCGTACGTCCTTCCTCCTCTCCCTCGTACGTCCTCCCTGCTCTCCCTCGTACGTCCTTCCTCCTCTCCCTTGTACGCTTTTCCTGCTCTCCCTCGTACGCCCTTCCTGCTCTCCCTCGTACGCCCTTCCTGCTCTCCCTCGTACGCCCTTCCTGCTCTCCCTCGTACGTCCTTCCTGCTCTCCCTCGTACGCCCTTCCTGCTCTCCCTCGTATGCCCTTCCTCCTCTCCCTCGTACGTCCTTCCTGCTCTCCCTCGTACGCCCTTCCTGCTCTCCCTCGTACGCGCTTCCTGCTCTCCCTCGTACGCCCTTCCTGCTCTCCCTCGTACGCCCTTCCTGCTCTCCCTCGTACGCCCTTCCTGCTCTCCCTCGTACGCCCTTCCTGCTCTCCCTCGTACGCCCTTCCTGCTCTCCCTCCTACGCCCTTCCTGCTCTCCCTCGTACGCCCTTCCTGCTCTCCCTCGTACGCCCTTCCTGCTCTCCCTCGTACGCCCTTCCTGCTCTCCCTCGTACGCCCTTCCTTCTCTCCCTCGTACGTCCTTCCTGCTCTCCCTCGTACGCCCTTCCTGCTCTCCCTCGTACGTCCTTCCTGCTCTCCCTCGTACGCCCTTCCTGCTCTCCCTCGTACGTCCTTCCTGCTCTCCCTCGTACGCCCTTCCTGCTCTCCCTCGTACGTTCTTCCTCCTCTCCCTCGTACGTCCTTCCTCCTCTCCCTCGTACGTCCTCCCTGCTCTCCCTCGTACGTCCTTCCTCCTCTCCCTTGTACGCTTTTCCTGCTCTCCCTCGTACGCCCTTCCTGCTCTCCCTCGTACGCCCTTCCTGCTCTCCCTCGTACACCCTTCCTCCTCTCCCTCGTACGTTCTTCCTCCTCTCCCTCGTACGTCCTTCCTCCTCTCCCTCGTACGTCCTCCCTGCTCTCCCTCGTACGTCCTTCCTCCTCTCCCTTGTACGCTTTTCCTGCTCTCCCTCGTACGCCCTTCCTGCTCTCCCTCGTACGCCCTTCCTGCTCTCCCTCGTACGCCCTTCCTGCTCTCCCTCGTACGTCCTTCCTGCTCTCCCTCGTACGCCCTTCCTGCTCTCCCTCGTACGCCCTTCCTGCTCTCCCTCGTACGTCCTTCCTGCTCTCCCTCGTACGCCCTTCCTGCTCTCCCTCGTACGCCCTTCCTGCTCTCCCTCGTACGTCCTTCCTGCTCTCCCTCGTACGCCCTTCCTGCTCTCCCTCGTACGCGCTTCCTGCTCTCCCTCGTACGCCCTTCCTGCTCTCCCTCGTACGCCCTTCCTGCTCTCCCTCGTACGCCCTTCCTGCTCTCCCTCGTACGCCCTTCCTGCTCTCCCTCGTACGCCCTTGCTGTTCTCCCTCGTACGCCCTTCCTGCTCTCCCTCGTACGCCCTTCCTCCTCTCCCTCGTACGTCCTTCCTCCTCTCCCTCGTACGTCCTTCCTCCTCTCCCTCGTACGTCCTCCCTGCTCTCCCTCGTACGTCCTTCCTCCTCTCCCTTGTACGCTTTTCCTGCTCTCCCTCGTACGTCCTTCCTGCTCTCCCTCGTACGCCCTTCCTGCTCTCCCTCGTACGCCCTTCCTGCTCTCCCTCGTACGCCCTTCCTGCTCTCCCTCGTACGCCCTTCCTGCTCTCCCTCGTACGCCCTTCCTGCTCTCCCTCGTACGCCCTTCCTGCTCTCCCTCGTACGCCCTTCCTGCTCTCCCTCGTACGCCCTTCCTGCTCTCCCTCGTACGCCCTTCCTTCTCTCCCTCGTACGTCCTTCCTGCTCTCCCTCGTACGCCCTTCCTGCTCTCCCTCGTACGTCCTTCCTGCTCTCCCTCGTACGCCCTTCCTGCTCTCCCTTGTACGTCCTTCCTGCTCTCCCTCGTACGCCCTTCCTGCTCTCCCTCGTACGTTCTTCCTCCTCTCCCTCGTACGTCCTTCCTCCTCTCCCTCGTACGTCCTCCCTGCTCTCCCTCGTACGTCCTTCCTCCTCTCCCTTGTACGCTTTTCCTGCTCTCCCTCGTACGCCCTTCCTGCTCTCCCTCGTACGCCCTTCCTGCTCTCCCTCGTACACCCTTCCTCCTCTCCCTCGTACGTTCTTCCTCCTCTCCCTCGTACGTCCTTCCTCCTCTCCCTCGTACGTCCTCCCTGCTCTCCCTCGTACGTCCTTCCTCCTCTCCCTTGTACGCTTTTCCTGCTCTCCCTCGTACGCCCTTCCTGCTCTCCCTCGTACGCCCTTCCTGCTCTCCCTCGTACGCCCTTCCTGCTCTCCCTCGTACGTCCTTCCTGCTCTCCCTTGTACGCCCTTCCTGCTCTCCCTCGTATGCCCTTCCTCCTCTCCCTCGTACGTCCTTCCTGCTCTCCCTCGTACGCCCTTCCTGCTCTCCCTCGTACGTCCTTCCTGCTCTCCCTCGTACGCCCTTCCTGCTCTCCCTCGTACGCCCTTCCTGCTCTCCCTCGTACGCCGTTCCTGCTCTCCCTCGTACGTCCTTCCTGCTCTCCCTCGTACGCCCTTCCTGCTCTCCCTCGTATGCCCTTCCTCCTCTCCCTCGTACGCCCTTCCTCCTCTCCCTCGTACGTCCTTCCTCCTCTCCCTTGTACGCTCCCCGCCTCCCCCCCCTCCTGCTCTACGCCCTCTTTCTCTCTCCTACGGCCCGCCCTGGCCCTTCTCCATGTGCCTTTCTCTAGATGCCTAGCGGGGGGTGTTGCTGCTATGTTGATGGCGCCACATGCCATTCTCCCATCCAGAAGTCATGCCCCCACATGTCATTCTCCCACATGCCATGCCCACACATGCCATGCCCACACATGCCATGCCCACACATGCCATGCTCCCACATGCCATGCTCCCACATGCCATGCTCCCACATGCCATGCTCCCACATGCCGTGCCCACACATGCCTTGCCCTCACATGCTCGGCCTCGCCCCTCCCTGCACCCCTGTGCCTCTGCCTGCGCCTCCTCGCCCCTGCCTGTGCCCTGTCGCGTCCCTGCCTCCCTCCCTCCCCTCGCATGTGCCCCGGGCGTGCATTTGAGGGCAGAGGGGCAAGTGGGACGTGAGGTCGTTTTCGCTCATGCCGGGGGTGTTCCTGCTGCAGCAGCCTGACGACTTCGCCTGTGTGCTGCTCATCCAGGACGCCTGCTACGTGCACATGACAGGTGGGTGCCACGTATCACATGACAGGTGGGTGGTGCCACGTGGCACATGACAGGTGGGTGGTGCCACGTGGCACATGACAGGTGGGTGGTGCCACGTGGCACATGACAGGCGCAGGCCCTGTGCAAACGACAGGTGCATTGTCACTTGTGCACATCACAGGTGCATGCCGCAGCATGCATGGTGGTTCTCGCCCAAAGAAGCACCTCCCCTTGCACTTTTGAGTTATCACTCCTACATCATCATACCCGCCTCCTGTCTCCCCACCCCTTCCTCTCTCCCCTCCTCCTGCGGGTTCGTCGCGCTTGCACGTGGCAGCAGCAGGGAAGGCGTGTGGAGGGCGCACGAGGGCGGGCGTGCTTAGAGCTTCGCTCCATCAGCAACACGCGCACTGCACCGCACTCCTCCTTTTCTCCGATCCCCCACCCCACCTCCTGCTCCCAGGCCCATCGCGCCTGCACACACCTTATGTGGGCATGTGGTATTCACACGAGGGCATGCGCGGCTTCCCTCCGTCCCCCATGCCCAACCCCACCCTTTTCCCCCCATCCCCCTTCCAGGCCCATCGCGCCAACACGCGCCAAGGGCAGGCATGTGGCATTTGCACGAGGGCCATCATACCATCATACTCACCTGTCTCACCCCCCATCCCCCTCCTCCTCCCTCCTCTCCATCCCCTCCTCCCCTTTCCCTCCCGCAGGCTTGTCGCGCCTGTACGTGGCAGCAGCAGGCAAGGCATGTGGTGGGCGCACGAGGGCAGGTTTCTTCGAGTCACTCCATCAGCAACACCCGCACTGCACTCTCCCTCCCCCCCAATCCCCCACCCCATCTCCTGCTCCCAGGCACATCACCCCTGCACACACCATCAGGTGGACGAGAGACGAGGTATGTGGTATGTGGTATTCGGACGAGGATGTGCGCGACTTCAAGCGTATCACCATGTCCAACCACCTCTGCTCTCCCATCTCCTTCCCCCCCCTCCCCACCCCCCCCCCCTCCCTCCCCCTCCCGCCGCTCTCCCCTTCCCCTCTCCTCTCCCTCAGGCCCATCACGGCTACACGCGCCAATGGCGGGCATGTGGTATTCGGGCGAGGGCGTGCGCGACTTCCCTCCATCCCCCATGCCCATCCCCACCCTTTCCCCCCCATCCCCCTCCCAGGCCCATCGCGCCTGCACCAGCCAATGGCGGGCATGTGGTATTCGGGCGAGGGCGTGCGCGACTTCAAGCGCATCAGCACGTCCAACGACCTCTGCTCGCTCTTCCCCGACGCCCTCGCTGACCAGCAGGACCACGCCTGGCGCTCCCTCTCGCCCCGCGAGGCACAGGCTGCCACGGACAGAGAGGCCACTGTGGGGCGCGATGTGGTGCGGTTGAGAGGGGTGGAGGAGGGGGAAGGGGGCGTGGGGGGAGTGGATGGGCGGAAGGGAGGTGCGGGAGGGGGGAGGAAGGGGAGTGGGGTGGGGAAGGAGAGGTATGGTGGGAGGGTGGAGCGGAGGGAGGAGGAGGAGGAGGGGGATTGGAGGGACGGCGGTCGAGTGGGGTATTCAGCCGACGACGGGGAGGAGGGAGAAGAGAGGGGGACCCACATGGGCAAGCGGCGACGCCTCCTATCCGCATCGGAGCACAAAACCACCAAACCCCACAACCCTGTCCCCGCCCACTCTAAACCCAAGCCTTCATCCACCCAATCACCACCAGCCACACCCCAGCAGCAGCAGCAACAGAGTGCATCACCCATGGCCATGGCGCTGTGGGGGTTTGAGAACGCGGCTGTGGGGTTCACGGACGAGTTTGACGAGGAGCTGCACGACATCACGGACATCAAGCGCCGGGAGAACCGCGTGTACGGCCGCTTCGAGAGCCCCCATGCTGTTGCGCGCTACCTCAACCTCAGCGACGCTGCGAGCAGAGCGCGGCTGGCAAAGGGGCCGGCGGGAGGGCGCGTGGAGAAGGTGGGGTATGTGCCGCGGCATGGCACCTACATGGGGGACTTCGGCGAGGCTGTGGTGCCGCTCATGCAGGCTGCTGGTGAGTCGTTGGCTCATGCAGGCCGCTGGTGAGTAGTTCGCTCATTTACTTCCTCTCTCTTTCTCATGCCAAACCCCTCTCTTCCTTAACTGTGATTCCGCTCATGCAGGGTGGTGGTGCGTGCAGGGTGGTGGTGCGTGCAGGGTGGTGGTGCGATTAGGCATCTCTCTTTCTCATTTCCTGATTGACAACCCCCTCTCCTTCTCAGCTGTGCTGACGCAAGGTCAACCCTCAGCCAACCCTCAGCTGCACCTGCCTCTTCCGCCCAACAACCTTCCTCTCCCCTCTCCGTCCCTTTCTCCCCTCCCCTCGCCCCCAGTGCACCTGGTGCGAGCGCCACCGTCAGACCCATCCAAGGACACGAGGGGGGAGGGGCGCGTGGTGTTCTTCCCGGGGGAGCGCGAGGTGCGCAGCGCATGGACGGCTGACATGGCGCGCATCCTCTTCGGCCCCAAGGCGCAGCTGCTGCTGGGCCACTCGCCCGGGCTCAAGGTAGGCTCAGCTGCTGCTGGGGCACTCGCCCGGGCTCAAGGTAGGCTCAGCTGCTGCTGGGGCACTCGCCCGGGCTCAAGGTAGGCTCAGCTGCTGCTGGGGCACTCGCCCGGGCTCAAGGTAGGCTCAGCTGCTGCTGGGGCACTCGCCCGGGCACAAGGTAGGCTCAGCTGCTGCTGGGGCACTCGCCCGGGCTCAAGGTAGGCTCAGCTGCTGCTGGGGCACTCGCCCGGGCTCAAGGTAGGCTCAGCTGCTGCTGGGGCACTCGCCCGGGCTCAAGGTAGGCTCAGCTGCTGCTGGGGCACTCGCCCGGGCTCAAGGTAGGCTCAGCTGCTGCTGGGGCACTCGCCCGGGCACAAGGTAGGCTCAGCTGCTGCTGGGGCACTCGCCCGGGCTCAAGGTAGGCTCAGCTGCTGCTGGGGCACTCGCCCGGGCTCAAGGTAGGCTCAGCTGCTGCTGGGGCACTCGCCCGGGCTCAAGGTAGGCGCAGCTGCTGCTGGGGCACTCGCCCGGGCTCAAGGTAGGCTCAGCTGCTGCTGGGGCACTCGCCCGGGCTCAAGGTAGGCGCAGCTGCTGCTGGGGCACTCGCCCGGGCTCAAGGTAGGCTCAGCTGCTGCTGGGGCACTCGCCCGGGCTCAAGGTAGGCTCAGCTGCTGCTGGGGCACTCGCCCGGGCTCAAGGTAGGCTCAGCTGCTGCTGGGGCACTCGCCCGGGCTCAAGGTGAGAGGCCCGCACGCTCCCAGGCACAGGGTAGGTGAGGGAGTTTGATTGGAGGAGGGAGGAGGCAAGCGAGGGTCAAGGTGAACGAGGGTCGCCAAGGGCAATGGTTTTGAATGGCGTTCGAGTAGTAGAAAGGACATGGGCTGGCAAGCACAGAGTCAATCTCTCCACATGCGCAAGTCCCATTGCAACCCCCTCCTCCCCACCACCTGCCGCCGCTCACTCTCCCTCCGCTGCCCTTCCCTGCAACCCCCTTCCCTCTGGCCTCCTGTGATTACTCTCTTGCCTGCCTCCCCCCCCCCTCCCCTCCCCTCTCCCTCCTGAATCGTTGGCACTGCCCTTCCCCCCTCTCCTGCCCCCGCCTGCTCGCCCCTCTTACCTGCTCGTACCTCGTACCTGCTGCCCCCCCTGTGTGCGGCAGGTGTGTTTCCGCAATGCGCTCTTCCCGCTGAACCGCCTGCACACGCCGCAGGCAGCGGACACACTCAGGCAGTGGGCGCTGCTGGGGGCGGGCGGGCGCGGCAAGGCCAAGGCCCAGGGCAAGGGCAAGGGCAAGAAAGCCAGCCAGTCGGGTGTGGTGCGCGTCAAAGTGCTGCGCACCAGCCGCAGCTTGCCGCCCCTGCCACCCGCCCCTGGCTCCCAGGTGGGTGGCGAGAGGGGTGGCGAGAGGGGTGGCGAGAGGGGTGGTGAAAGAGGAAGGGTGGCAGGTGGAAGCAGCAGAGTGGCCACTTGGTGGTGGTGGTGGTTCATGTGCGATGCAGGTGAGGGAGGACAGGACGTGATGGAGAAAGTAGAAGGTGGTACAGCGAGAGATCATTTTCGGCGTCCTGTCATCCAGTAGCCCCACGCTCATCCACTAGCCCCACGCTCATCCAGTAGCCCCACGCTCATCCGCTTCCTGCGTTTGACTAGCTTGCACCCCACCCTGTTCTTCCCTCCTCCTCCTCCTCCTCCTCCTCCTCCTCCTCCTCCTCCTCCTCCTCCTCCTCCTCCTCCTCCTCCTCCTCCTCCTCCTCCTCCTCCTCCTCCTCCTCCTCCTCCTCCTCCTCCTCCTCCTCCTCCTCCGCCTCCTCCTCCTCCTGTCCTCTGCCTGCATTGCATGAGGTGGCAGGTGTTGGTGCTGGACCAAAGGACAGGGTAGTGTGCACTACCGTCTCCCTCGCTCCGCCACCTCCCATCAACCCACAATGCAGCTATCTTCTCCTTTTGTTCTCCACTGTTCTCGCATCCCCTGTGCCCGCCCAGGTCCTCCGCACCCCGAGGAGCATGACGTGGCGGGAGACGGTGTTGGGGCATGAGGTGGTGGGAGACAGTGTTGGGGGGGGAACAGGTTTAGTCTGCACGTCCCCTCACCTCATGCCTCGCCTCTGTTCTCCTCCCATCCCTGTTACCCTGCAACTCAATCCCAGGTGCCCCCTGCGCCGCGGCGCATGCGCTGGCAGGTGACGGTGCTGGAGCGCGAGCGAGGGCGGTCGGTGATGAACGGGCAGGAGGTGGCGCGCGTGGCGCACGCGCTCTTCCCCGAGATGCCGCTGCTCATCGCCCGCGTTGGCAAGGCGTCTGCCTTCGACCATGCTCTGCTGCTCAAGGTGAGAAGGCGGGGGCGAAGGGAGGGGGAAAAGCGGGGGTGGGGGGTGAAGAGGGGTAGTGTGAGGTGATTGAGTGGGTCGGAGGATGCAAGGGAGGGGGAGAGGTTGGGAAGTGGGGGGGAAGGGTAAAGAGAAGAGGGAAGGGGGGATGAGGGAGTGGGCAGGTGAAGAAGGAAGATTCTTATTTGTTGTACCTTGAGCCTGCTGCCTGAACTGAAGCAAGCTGTAGGTGAGCTGCTTCCCATCTCCTCATCCATGCCCTTCCATACGCAACCACGTGATTCAAGCACCCTTGATTGCACACCCAATCCACTCTCACTCTCCCTTTCCTCCACTACCTTAACCCCCCTTCTCCTCTCTCTCTCCCCCCTCCCCCCCCCCCCCCCTTCCTCTACCCCCCCCCCCCCCCCCCCCCTTCCACCACTTCCCCCTCCATGCTCAGAATACCCTAGTGCTGATATCGCTGCACGGCACGCCGCTCACCACGGCGCTGTTCATGCCGCGGGGCTCAGTGGTCGTGGAGCTGTTCCCCTACAAGTTCCTCAGCACGCTCTACAAGAAGATCGCCATGCGCTCCGGTGTGCACTACCTCGCATGGCGCAACATCCACGACATCAGCGCGTTTTTCCGCAACTCCTGCATGAAGGACGGAGGGTTCACGCACCTGCCCGAGGAGCAGTGCTGGAACATTCACGAGTGTGTGGCCTGTGCGCGTGATCAGAGCATTACCAGAGTAGACCGGAGGGAGTTCAAGGAGGTGATGGCCAATGCGAGAATGCTTGTCAGAACGCTGGTGTACAATAATACAGTGTAGGCTATATTATTTTACAAGCATTGATAAATTCTATTACCAGTATCTAGGAGAAAATTGCAAGTGCTGCTCCACCTAGCATGTACTTTTTTAACTCCCATTGGTTCAGGCCTTTATTTATCAGTGTAATTTACTCTGTTTCTCTGAAAATCAGAGTGGTTTTTAGGGGGGCACTTTGTACCAGCTGGGTAATTTTTTTGAGAGTTACTTGTTCTCTGATCAGCCAGGGTTTTTGTGTAAGGACACTCTGAAGCGCCAGTGTTTCTTTCTCGGATACTGAGTTTACTCTAAACGGGGGTTACATGTACCCCCCCGACCCCCCACGTTCCCCCTTATCCCCTCGCTGCCGGTTTGGACCGGAGCGCAGGGGATGTCAATCCTGTTTCGCTCGTGTGTTGGCACAACCTGAGGCTCCGATTGGCCGGAATGGCATATTTCGTGCCAGCGCACTCAACTGGCCACCCACTAGATACATCGCTGGCTTTGCGTACACCATATGCAATGAACAACTCCAACTTACGGGCATGATACGGCAGCTTCCGGTGGTGCATTGAATTCGTGCGCGGCGCGCACATCCCCACCTGTTGCTCGGCTGGCAGACGGGGTCACCACCAAACCCCATCCTGTCCTCCCATTATGTTTCTCCCACCAACACTGCTCTTCAACGTGCCAGTCTAGCGAGTGTTCAGAGGGCTTCTCCTGGAGCCACAGCCCCGGCTCCCTGCGGCTTGGTTTTGCTGTCAACACCATGGATACTAGCGACGCCGAGGGAGACGCGGCAGATCCCGACGATAGGCCGACATGTAGCAAACCCCCTGCGACTGGGCTTCAGTTTCTTCGCGCCGTGCGTGAAGATAATGTTCGCGATGAAGAGCAGTTGGGCGACGGCGGTACCGAATGGATGCGCCGTCCTCGCAAGGAATGTGGCGGCATGGAAGGTGCGAACGACGAGTGGTGTCCTACTCTCCGCCCGATGAATGACGATGCTGAGTCTGACGGTGTTGAGGAGTGGATCACCTCGCCGCGGAAGGAGGTTGCTGCAGAGCCGACAGAAACGGTTGCAACGCAGTTTGTCGATGCGGCCACTCCTGAGTCAACCGGCTCAGTCGCTATGAAGAAGCGACGATTTACGCAACAGGTTTTGCAGTGGGGAACACCGCCGCCGAAGCCCGTCGCTCCACCTCCCCGTGCTGCCCCACCCCCCATCCGTCCCCTTACAGACGAGGAGAAGAAGGAGAAGGCGTACCTGAAGGCGCAGAAGAGCTACACATCTGATTGGCTGCCGAAGTTCGACTGGCTGATTCTGGACAAGACGCCAGAGGGTGACCCGTGCCTGCGCTGCAGTGTCTGCATGGAGCACGGGAAGGACAACGCGCGTTACGGTCGCAATGGCGCTGGCGGTCGTGATCTGCAGATCGGGTCGATGCGGTGGCACGAGAACAGCGCGAAGCACGAGGACGCCATGAACAAGCAGGCTAACCTTCTGCAGAAGATCGTTGACCAGAAGAAAATTGAAGACTTCGCGAAGGGAGATCCGGAAGGCTGTCGCGTCGCGGTACTCATGCGCGCCATGCGATTTGTGTGTCGTACTGACACACCCATCCACATGTACCCACAGATCGTGCAGCTTCTCGCAGAGGAGGGTGTCGCCAACATACCGCGACAAAGCTATGGAGTCTACATCACGCAGTGAGTTGTTGGCTAGTTTTGTTTTTGAAGCGATCGTTTTTGTTTAACGAGCCTAATGCGATGTTCTATGTGAATGCGCAGGTACGGTTTCTCCGAGATGGCCAGGGCTCTCACCGTGTATCTGACCAGAGAGCAAATGCGCCATCTCCACGCCTCGCCCTTCATCGGCCTCATGTGCGACGAGAGCACGGATCGCGCCCGTGGCAAACACATGATTGTATTTGTTACATTTCTCAAGAACAGCGTGGTTGTAACCGAGTTTCTCGCGTTACTAACCGTCCAGCAATGTGATGCGGCATCGCTCATGGGCGCACTGCTCCAGCATCTCGAGTCAGTGGGCATCGACTTGCAGAAGATTTCAGGAATGTCCACGGACGGCGCGGCTGTGATGATCGGGGGCACGTCCGGCCTTGTCACGCGACTGCGCGTCCACGCCCCTCACCTTGTCGGCTGCCACTGCATTGCGCATCGGTACGTGTCGTAAATTTTAAATTTGAATCCCCCGTTTTATGCTAGTCGTTTTAATTAGACTTGTATCAATCTTAATATGGGTTTCCCGTGTTTGCTTGCAGCGAAGCACTTGCTGTGAAGGAGACTGCCGAAGCCGATCAGTTCAAAGATTTCCGGATGGTGGACAAGGCCGTCCGTGCAGTTGGCGAGATCGTGGGGAGATCCACGCCGTGGTACGAACGGTTCAAAGAGCTTCAGATCGTGATCCACAGCACCAACCTCGAGCACCAGGGACTGTTCGACGTGCGCTGGCTCTCACGTGCCGATGCGGTCAACCGACTTGTCAAGATTTTGGGGTCGGCAATCGTGCTCTTCCTGGAGTACGAGCACAAGATTGCCTCGGTTGTGAAGACCCTGAAGTTTCACTTCTGTCTGTATTTCTTGGCAGACATTTTGGGGGAGTTGAACTCCCTGAATCGTTTTTTCCAACGACGCAAGGTAAAACGCGCACTTAAGGCTTGTTGCTACACACGGTCAGCCCTGCTTAATATTCTTTTTTCCACACAGACTAAAAAACTTCTGTGCGCGCGTGTCGTTGTGTCAGGTGGAGGTGACCCAAGTCACAGAAGAGGTGGACTGGGTGGTGTCACTCATTGAGCACCGCTACATCGACTACGACGGTGGATTCGGGGCGGGTCTGAGCCCCAACTTGTCTCCGTTCATGGCACGTGTGAAGAAAGGGGACAAGAAGGTGAAGGTGGACGGCGTGGACGCTAGCGGCAGACCCGTCAAGCACACCTTCGAGCTCAGCGAGGTGCCAGACAAAAAACACAAGTTCGGCGGCTCGCTAGCAGATTGCGTGAAGCTGGGCAAGGCCTTCGCCTGAGAGGTCGTGTACAACTTGAAGCACCGCATGCGAGATCTTCGTCGTATGGGCGGCATGAAGCTCTTCAGGGTGGACAAGTGGCCATCGAATGCGGACACGCGTGAGAGACGCTGTGCCACGTGGCTCCGCGAGAACTCTCAACTCTTCAACCACCTGCTTCCAGGTAAGAGAATATAATTTCGAATGTGAACGATTGCTTCTCCAAAAATTGATGCACTACGTCAATGTTTAACAAACATTTCCGTACTTAAAAAACCATGCGCTGTGCGCACTGTGTTGGCAGGATTCGATCTGCGGGCAGCCGAACTTGAGCTGAAAACTTTCTGCCACATCATGAGGACGCACCACGAGGACGAGGACTTCTACCAGTCGCTGACGAACATGCTGAGGTCCCGTGACTGGCGGCGAACTTACCCCAACATCATGACCCTGTGGCAGGCGTTGGCCGTCCTGCCACTCAGCACCGTCGAATGTGAGCGTGGATTTTCACGCCAGAATATCATCAAGAGCTCGCAGCGCACGGCTCTCAACGACACGCGGCTCACGGAACTCATGAGCATCCACATGCTCGACTACAACGTGGAGTGGCCAGATGTCGTGGACATCTGGCGCAAGCAGAAGAAGAGGCGGCCAACTAAATCCCCTGCACCCTACCAACCACCCAGCGACACGGGCAAGCCACAGGCCAGCACGGACGACGAACGGGAGGACGACGTGGCAGACGATGAGTGAGACTGTGGTGTGGTACTAGGTTATTGTGTACAACCTTTATATGAAGTTTTAAAATCCATAATTTCTAACACTGCAACAACATATAACAAACAATGCGAAACCATCAGAGGAAACTTAAAAATTACTCTGAGGTGACCGGGTTTTTTATCTGACAGACTGTGTTACACTGACATCTAAGAGCAAGGCTCGCCAAACACTCAGGATTTAAGGGTTACGCCAAAAACGCCTCTGGAAACTAGTGTGCTCCAAAACGAAAAAAAAGCCCTGCTCTGGTTCTTGTTTGTAGGGATTAAGGAATTTAGAAGTTCAGATTTCACAGCAACGCACTCAACTGTGTCTACCGAACAGAACACAGCCAATGTGGCAGACCCCCATATTGCTTGTCACCCGTGCAGGTGCATCCAAACCTTTTCAAGCAATTTACACTGTTAGAATCCTAAGGAATGATGGGATTAGGTGAGGGAAGGGGGATACAAGAAAGATGTCGAGAAAGTTGTTGTACCTCCTAAAGGCTAACCCCACTACAGCCTAAATATATATAACTAAATATGTTTTCACACACCCCTACAGGCGAAGTGGGGGATAGCCAGAACAAGTAATAGTCACAAGACCAGTCAAGAGAGGCAACAAGACAAAGCTCAGGGTGGATCACAACGTCACCACACAGTCCGAGCACAAGCAAGTGGCCACAAGGCCAGCAGAGATACAAAGAACACATGCTGTACAATAATCGCAACCTAGCAAGGGTAAGCATGTAACCATATATTTAGATTACAGTACAAGACAAAGTCAAGGAGTGAGCAAGTGAGGCATAGTAGGCACAAGGCTTAGAGAAGTGAAAAAAAAGCTGATGATCACCAGACCCGATATCATTTGTGTTCGCCTATGAGGCCACGTAAGCAAGACGAAGCTGACCACGCTGCTGCAGCTCTCGAGCCAGGAAGTAACGCAGAGCGATGTGCTTCGTTCTGTGCTCCATTCTCTGTCAACGGGAGTTGTGTTTGGCCCCGTCCTCGCTTGGGCGGAGCTGACCTCGTGGTCGGTTGTGCGGGGGGATGCAGCCGACCTGCAGCAGTGGGCACGGGGGCCACTGCAAGGGCGCGGAGCTTGGGGGCGTCTGGCTGGAGGGCGCCGAGCAGGTGGACGCCGACCTGGGCGTCTGCTCGGCGTCCTGGGCGCCTGGACGCCGTGCTAGGCGTCCATTCGGCGTCCTGGGAGGTGGGACGCCGACCTGGGGGTCTGCTCGGCGTCCCGGGCGCCTGGACGCCGACTTGGGCGCCTGGACGGCGTCCTGGGCGAGTGGACGCTGTCCTGGACGCCACGACGCCGACTTGGGGTCGCCGGGCTTGGCATAGCCGGCGTCCGACTGGGCTGGACGACCAGGCGGGGTTGCCCGGTCGACCGGGATACCCGGGCGACATGTGCGAAGGTCGCCGGGGGAGATTTCTGCGAGGACGACCTCGGGGGTGGTATCCCGAGGTCGACGTGGCTGATGGGCGCCGTCACGAGCGGGAATGTCTGCGCTGGGCGCGTGACGGGGAGTTGGACGCCAACCAGCCGCGCACACCTGCGAAGCAGGTGCACCGTTGTCCTGCGGGCGCAACGCTGTGCAGCCGACTTGCTGCAGCGTTGGCACACCACAGACATGCAGCGTTGGCGCGCCGCATCTCTACAGCGCTGGAGCGGTGCGAGCATTGCTGCGCTGGATCGCGGTCGACCGTGCTACGCTGGAGGTCGACCAGCAGCTGTGCTAGCTCTGATGTAGCCTTGCATGCCAATGTTGTTGCTATCATTCTGAACCTTTGTTGCTATGTTTTCCTAGTGGAACTCTTGCCAATTCTCCCCGTGAACTAGCAAGTAGTGTGCGCACAAGGAAACGACTAAGGAACAAACGAACGCAGAGATCCCTCTCACACACGTGCCTTCCCCGTAGTCAAGCTCCCGTTGATCGAGTTATCTCCGCATGGTGCGGTGAGCGTGGACGACACCGCGACGTAGTTCAGTCTAGCCGACTTTGCACTTCCCAATTGTGTTCGTAGGCCGGCAGCTTTGCGTTAGTCACCATGGTAGGCGGCGTAGGTGACGCCGGGGTGGTGGACACCCTGGAGGCACGGCTGGAGAACGCGAGGAGAAAGCACGAGGCCAACGAGTATGGCGACCTGCCGTGGGCGGTCGTCGAGGCCGGGCTCCGAAGCATGTGGGCGTCGGAGCACCCTTCTCGGCCTGCTTCTCCTCGACCGGTGAACACCGAGGGCGGCGTCGACGCGGGCGTCAACGCCGGAGGAGGCCAGGTCGGCAGCAGTGCGGGAGGCACGTCGAGGCAGAGAGGAGTGATACACGCCGATGAAGTCGGCGGCGTTCAGGCACGAGGAATGCAGTCGTCGGGGGCTGCAGGGGCCTCGCAAGGCTATGTCGGAGGCCAACGAAGTGGATTGGCGCCGATGTCGGCGACACACGTGACCGCGGGAGGGATTGCGCCGAGCTACGGCTACTTCAAGTTTACGCCGGACAGGATCCAGGTCACCCCTCTGCTGGTCGGTCGACCGGACATTCTCACCTGGAAGGAGGCGATCGAGCCCCAGCTGGAGATGGCCGGGCTGATCGGCTTCGCCTGTGGCACCATGGCGACGCCGGAGGAGGTCTACCCCGACTTGCGAGCGGAGTTTCGTGCCGTGCAGCTGTTGACCTTCACGGTCATCTCGCGGTGTTGCTCACCGAGCGTGCAGATCGCCATGAAGTGGTGCAGGGAGTACCTCGACGCCGGACACCAGGCGTGGCACTTCATCGAGTCGACGTACCAGGTCACCGATGACCTGTACATCGGCCAGCTCGAGGAGCAGATGACGCACCTGCGGATGGGCGAGCAGGAGACGGCGACGGACTACTGCAACCGGGCACGGCGACTTCTCGCCACCATGAGGATGGCCGGCGTGCAGTATTCCACAGCGTCGTATATCACGCACGTCCTGAAGGGGCTCCCGAGCAGCTACAACCTGCTGAAGCGGCTGTCGGTGGCGCCGAGCACGCGGGCGACACTCAACGAGGACTCCCTTACCTCGTACATCCTACAGGACGAGGCGATGCAGGAGGCCGAGAAGTCCACGGAGCTCCTGCTGCAGGCAAACTACGCCGCCCCGGCGAAGCAAGGTAGCCGACCAGGGCAGCGCGGCAAGCCTGGCAGCAGTGGTAGCGGAGGTGGGAAGCCGGCCAAGGACGCCGACAAGGGTAAGTCGGCGAAGGAAGGCGGTCGCGGAGGAGGAAGTCGGCGTCGGGAGTGCTGGATCTGCCACAGCCCCGACCACCTCTCCTTTGAGTGTCCCGACCGCAGCGAATCCGACGACGACGACGCCAAGGGAGGCCGCGGGAGGTCGGCCAGCCGTCGTCCACGTCGAGGAAACCAGCCGCACAAGGAGAAGCAGTCGAACAAGTCGACCTCGGCGAAGGACGCCGACTCCTCTGCTGGCGGCAAGGGGAAGGACGACAAGTCGGCGTCGTGCTCTCTGGTCGGCGTTGTGGAGCCGACCGTCTCACTGGCGCCGGAGGCCGGTGAGGATTTCCAGGCGTTGGCAGCAGCCGTGCAGGCGAACCCGGCGGTGGTCTTGCTGGACAGCGGCTGCTCGCACCACCTGATGGGGACGAAGGAGGTCTTCGTCGACATGCAGCCGAGCGGCGACGTGAAGCATGTGCGCGGCTTCAATGGGGCGCTGCAGGACGTTCACGGCCGTGGCACGGTTGCGCTGCAAGGGGAGGCCGGGAAGCGGGTGCTCATCCCCGACGTGCTGTACGTTCCGGGCGTGCACGCAAACCTGCTGTCAGCCGGTCAGCTGAAGGAGAACGGTGTGAAGCTGCAGGACGACGGCGATGGCATGCTGCTCGTCTCTGCGACGGGCGACGTGCTCGGTCGAGCAACGTACTCCGGCCGGGTTCTCTGCACCGACCTGCGTCCCTGCCCGGCGTCTACTACGGCGGAGGAAGTTGCCCTGCGGGCCATCGTCTCGGCGACGAAGGCGACGCCGGACATGATGCACGCGAGACTCGCGCACGTCGGCATGGACGCCATCCTGAGCTCGGCGAAGCACGAGGTCGCCACCGGGCTGGACCTCAAGTCGGCGTCCGGCGCCACCTCGCCTTGCGTCTCGTGCGTCGGCGGGAAGCTGGCGCGACACACCTTCCCCGACAAGGGCTCGGACGCCGAGGACGCCCTGGCCGTCGTGCACATCGACCTGTGCGGGCCGTTTCGTGTGGCTGCCAAGGATGGCAGCCTGTAC